GGGTTGCTGCGTAACAGATTCTGATCAAATGGTATTGATGTGAAAGAAAGTTCCCTATTCTAGTTGATGCAATTATATACTTAAACGAAACCAGAAGAATCATGCTTTAGTATGAATAAAATAGACCAAAGTCATTCATGAGAAAGATGGCATTTCTTATGTATTTGTAACAGGGAAAGAACCGTAATGGAAAAATAGGAAACTTAAAAAGTACAGAGGCACTCAGGATCGTTTAGGCATAGGATGCATGGACTTTAGGAAAAAGGCGATAAGATTCACAGCTTAGATCAATGGCTGCATATCCGATAAACTTATCTTCAAAACTATTCTCCTCCCCCCCACCCTGTTAACGTGTTGGAGTAATATCAACTGAAAAGTCATCACTTAAGATATGGATACAGGAACTGAAATAGTCTCATATAATATTAGCAACAAGACTGAGTTATTAACATTATCTAGTCCTCAGTTTGAAGGTGGTGGGGTCTTGACATTGAAAGCCAATTTTATAATGAAAGGTTCTGTTTGGATTGGATTAGATTAGATACACATACACACAAACAAAAGAGCAAATCAGGAAAATGTTTAGCAGGGGAGATGTGCATGTCTTTCATTTATTTCCAGGATTGCATTGTCATTCATGAGTATCATGGAAAAAGCAGAGAAAAACCCTGTGTCGGGGATGGCCATGAATACACTGATCTTGACTCTTGTATTCAAGTGCTTTGTAACAAAAGTCAGAACAAATTTCAAGAGCTGAGCTGAGGGAGATGAATGTGTGATGAGGATTAATTAGATTAGTCAAAGCTGCAATTCTAAGATCATCATTTTATTTCAGAACTTGATATTTGGTGTCATGTTAGCTATTATGGTGCTTTTTTGAAGTTTGATTATTTGGTTGAAAACTAACCACTGGTCTACAGGACATTTTCATTGAAAAAAGAAAGGGTTCTGGGTTATAAGGACAATCAACAGTGACTAAAAAGTGGCAAAATTTAACAGGCTGAAGATCAGTAGCACATGGTGAACTGACTTCAGTAAACTGATCTGCCAAGGATGCAAAAATTACTTGGGAGAAACAAGCAGATTCTAACAGCCAAGGAAGTATGTCCCCACATAAAGACAACATCAGCATCAGGAACATGATCAAGCCTGATGCATAGTCATGAGTCATCCATCTCTCTCTCTCTGTGTAGAATTAGGCTAAGGAGTAATGACCATTGCTCTTACTCACAACAAACAAAACTATCAATTTCAAGCTTCAGTAGATGGAAAGTTAAAGTGGTAAAAGTGATGCTTTCAAATAAATGTATGAACTGTTTCTGATTAAAGAGTTTCCACAGATGGTAAAAGCACACTAAAATCAAAGGAACAAGCATTATTAGTTATCCCCCCTTTTTTTTTTCTCTGCAACTGGATGGATCTGAGGTGGTGATTTCAATCTATTGATCTTGAAGGTGATCAGGTGATGTGTTAGAAGAGTACACTTTTCTGAATTTTGCATTCAAATTCCTGTTGTCAGCTATGTTGTACCAGATTGATGAGGGAGATCCATTATTCTGAAGATCTCATCCAACAACAACAATACTGTCAGTGTCACCTAGTCCTTCTCGACCCCATTAAGGCTTTGAGACGTACGACAAGACTCCATTAGTATACAGGCAAATGTTTGAGGCAACAGACAACCAATCCTTTGATTACATCCTCAGAACAAATGAAGTCAGCAACAGTATTAATTTTTACAGCCATTCAAGGGTTGCACACAACTCATATATCTTATGTCTCCTCGGAAAACATACAGCAAGCCATTTCAATGGCTGACACTAAAGCTTCATTAATTACAGGCAGGCATTAGTAATCCGAACCATGCATTAATTTCATCCAAGTAAACCTTCAGTATTGAAACACAATTTCTCTAGCACCCCCAACAAACACATATTAATATTTGAATTATGACAAAAGGTACATAAATTTCGAGCAACAACCCTTAACCATTAGCATAATTTTTCTTGCTCTTTTTCTTTTTCCCCCAAGTATAAAATGGGATGTGATTTCAGGACATGAAATACAAAAGAGTAAGAAAAAGAAAAAGAAAAATAAATGGGAAAGAATGGCCTAAGCGACTTCCATCACTCTTCAGAAGCCATTGTTCCCCGCCATTTTGTACTCGTCCGAATAAAAAAGAAAAACTACTACCTTTACAATTAAGTCCTTATCATTCTCAAACTTCAAAGGAAACTCAAGTTATCCGTGGAATGGGTTCGACGCAACTTGCCCTTTTCTCTAGCTGCTGCTGCTGCCCCACTAGGCCCACAAGAAATGGAGATTTCACATCCACAAACGTTACCAAAACATGAAAACAAACCCTCATTGACAGTGTGTCTTCGAACATGTCCGGTTTTATTGGTGGTTGCAGGAATCCCGCTAGACATGTAACCAGAAAATTCACCTCGGTCGTACACTGGTGGAAGTTCGGTTCTCCACCTGTCCAGCTTTGACCGAAGCCCTTCGATACTCCCATCTAAACTCCACTCGTCCACGAAGGAGCTTTCTGTCTCATCCATTCTGTTATGGTACATGTTTCTGGCCATGGCTGCTGCCACCTCGGATGGGGATGGCCCCAACTCTGAATCGGTGCAGAATGTACCCCCACCCATTTTTCTTGGAGCCCCGTAATCCAACCCGTTATATTTAAACCCACCCGGTGACTTGGCGGCTGATGATTTCACCACAGCTTTTGGACCGTTTTTCTCGTTGGTCCTCTTTTCTATTTTCTTGGACAGCCCCGTAGCTTCCGAACCCATTTTTCCTCGATCCTCGGACCCGTTAATAATGGAACCTGGTTTTCCCAGTTTACTCTTCTCAAATGTGTAATTTACCATGGAACTCCCCCTCGAATTAATTCTATAGGTTTTCCCAATTTCTGACCCGTTAACCATTGACCCACCATTAACCATTGAGCCACCATTAACCACTGACCCGCCTTTAATCGATCTCTTGCACTTTAAATCTGACGAGAACATCGAACTCGAATCACTCTTGGTTCGTCGGAGCATGGGTTTGATCAGCCCATTAAGCAAAAGCTGATGGTTATTGCTTTTGCTATTGATGGAAGGATTATTATTATTATTGTTATTGTTATTATTATTATTATTATTGGAGTTTTGAATCTCCTCGCCCATCAAATGGCGATACCCGACTGCCGACGACCCCATTTGCATATACAAAGGCATGCTCCTCATTGAACTATCAAGCAACGCCACCCCAATGTTCAAAATCCCTTGGGGCCGACCCGACGGCCTCCAAACCTGAAGCGCCACGAACCTCATCCCTATCTGGACTTCGTGGCGATGGCGCGGCCGAGACGTAGGCGGCGATATAAGGTTTCCGACGATGACCCGGACGGTTCCCACGTGGATGTCGCGGAACCAATGGACGGCGTAGAGTTCGATCATGACGGCCGACGTGTCACCGTAGAGGAACTCGTCGTCGACGCGGAAAACGAATTTGTCGTTCCAAGTCGGGTTGGTGTGGCCTAGGGTGTCGATTCGGGTCGACAGCTTGCGTTGAGGATGCACCCAAGCCACCGCGTAGGTACGCATTTTGCGACGACTGACGGGCTCCAAGTCCTGGGCCGAGATCACATTGAGCTCCAACAGCTGGAATGGAGCTAAAACGTTCATATTCCTCATCAGTATCAATATCAATATCAGTATCAATATTGATATCAATACCAATATCAACGTCAAAGATTCAGCCCTTTCTCTTCTTCGTCGTAGTTTCTTTTTTTCTTCAAATAGTGAATCATGCACTAACTAATAAATCAAACGCAGTTGTTGTCAATTAACGAGGAAAGACCCCATCTCGTCGTCTTCGACGACGACGATGGGGGAAGGGCGAAAGGTAATAGAAACAAATGAGGAGAAACTAAAGGAGGGAGAGAAAAGAATTGATGGGCATTTGGAAATGGGGTGTGGCCTGTGTTAATCGAGGGGAGCCGTTGTTTTCTAACGCTTTGTTAGTTATTCTTTGACATCCATGGGGGGAGAAAAAACATTTGAAGTGGGGGACTTTTGACTCTTTTAGGTGGCAAAGGATCACAAGGTTTGTTTTCTTTTTGCCGTTTTAATTAGGATTGCAAGTCAAGACGTGGGAGTTTTTGACTGCCCAAACCCAACCCAACCCAACCCAACCCCTTTTCTATTTTAGCCTATGTTGGAACTTCCAGAAGCTCTTTCTTTTATAGAAAAAAGAACAAATTTGTGTTAGTCGTCTGGTTGAGGGTTGAGACCTTAATAGTGGTTGGAAGTGCAAGAGTGGGCAGCCATGGACTGCTTTTTAGGAGTCCTTCAGACTGCTGAACCTTGAATGCGTTCAGTTATGGCCCATGGAAGGTAGGTTAATATCTATAATACATTAAATATAAAGTCAGGTAAATAAATAAAGAAAAAAAAAACCTTCTCTAAGGGTTTGAACGACACCCTGCAGTTAATAACACGCTACATGTGCCATCTGATTAACCCGATCACCTGGCTCTAGCATTCCCTGCATTGTATGTAATACCCAGAGATTAATGTCATACATTTCTGTGGCACATCTAACCCTTCCAAAATCACAACCAGGATTTGGGATGGCTCACCTCACCCGACTGGAAAAACACACACACCCACCAATCTCTATATCATCACACCACCTTCCATTGATTTTGCCTGTGGGGCTAGGTTAGGCTATCACCTCGTTCCCATTACATGCATTTTTCAAGCAATAGGTTCCTTTTTGTTCTTCTGAGGTATGAAATCCCATACCTTTTTTTTTGGGTTTCATTTCTTGACTTAGTTTCCATTCTCCAGGCTAGAGAGTTAAATAATAATTGACCTGATAAGGCTGGCAGTTGGCTACTTGCTTCTCTGCTGCCAGAATCACAAAGCAACTCAAAAAAAATAAATTATTTGGTAAACTTCATGTGATAATGTTAAGTCCTTTACTCAAAAAGGAATCACGTGCATCTTGTTATACTTGACTTTGGTATCAATCCAAGTTATTTACTTTTCCCAACTCTAGCAATTGGTAGTAACTGATAAAAATATGTTTTGCTGTTTCCCCTTAGAGCATGTTCCTTAGAACCAAGGAACAAGATACAGAAGAAAAGTAGACAGCTTGATCTCAGCTCAAAAAAAGAAATTGCCAACCCCACTTAAGATTGCAGGCATAATCATATGGGAGTTTCTTTTATTTTATTAACGTTGGAAAACAAATTGAGTTTAGTTTATTCAGCTTTCGTTGTTCACCAGTTCATAGGCACAGAATTTTATAATCTCAGGTAGGCAAACTAGATCAAGTATTTAAGGGGCACCAAGAAAATGCTTCTAAGAAGTTCATCAACCCCAGTTATTGGAAGCCTCCTCTTCCCTTTCTCTGACAGTCCAAATAAAGATCTTGATACTACTTATAGGTTGCTTCAAGGTAACCATAGCAGAAATTTCTTCTGTCATGGTCAGGAAAACCTCAACTTGACATCATTTTCACATAATTCGTCTCCTCTGTCTCATTCAACTTCAGGGTTCTCTGAATTCAATCAAGAATCTGGCAGTTTTCACCTTAGAGGCTTTCGAAGAGCTAAGTCTGAAGGAAGCTTAGAAAGATTAGACTATAGTTCTTGTGATATAGCTCAGTTTCTTGATTCCAGAACACCAAAGAAATCCTTTTATAGGCATCATATAACAATGTTGCATAGTGCACCTTCTTTTTCGATATTCAATGAAGGGCTTGAAGATGGACAAGGCGGGGAGGAGGCATTGGAGAGAACAGTTACAATTGGAGAGAGCATTGATGCTGTAGGCAATGCTGATTTCAGCTTTGGGAAGAAGTGTATGGAATTGATTCAGGAAGAAGGAGAGGAGGAAGAAGAAAGAGGAAACAGAATTCAAAGTCCTTACAATGAAGAAGAAGTTGATCTTGAACCACCGAGTCCTCCCATGTATCTTGCAACGGGTCTTGGAATTGATGGTGCTGGATTTGGTACCATGGCTGATGCTGTTGATTTAAGCTCAATGGATCTTGATGAGGCTAGCGATCTTGAAGAGTTTCATAAGAGGCTGGTTGATGAGTACCCCTGCCATCCTCTGTTCCTAAGGAATTATGCTAAATTCTTACAGGTGAGACTGATTAATATATATTTCTTCCTTCCCAATACTTTAAATTTGGCCTTACCATCTTAGGCATTTAAGATTTGAGATGTTTGCAGTAGATAAGGTGATCACAACTAGACTATCTAAGTGTGTGCCTTTTGAGCCACTGCTGCTTCTAGTTTAGTCCTAATTTGGAATACTGAACCAGAAGGGGCTAGAGGAAAAGAAACCCATCATTTCTCATCGTCCTTTGATGTAGCATTTCCATATTAGCATGGAGTTTGCTTCAGAATGCATAGCATAGCTTATGTGATGTAGATTTTCTAGAATAAACAAGAAAATAAACATGATGTTTCAATTTTATGGGACATGATTCAATCTCTTTCAACAGTCTAAGGGAGATGTTCATGGAGCAGAGGACTATTATCATCGTGCTACACTAGCAGATCCTGAAGATGGTGAAATTCTGTCACAGTATGCCAAAATAGTGTGGCAACTCCACCAAGACAAAGATAGAGCCCTTAGTTACTTTGAACGTGCAGTTCAAGCTTCTCCTCAAGATAGGTCAGTACTTATCTATACTTGGCTGGATACTTTAAACTAAGGTTTCGGTTGTACTAGTTACCAATCCTCTCTGAGATATTTGTTGTTTAACTGGCTTGGTTTCATTGTCGAAAAAAATGTGGGTAACAACAAGCAAAGCTACATGATTTAATGCAAACCTTGGCTACTGGATGTTGTTAAACAGTTCCAGAAGCTTAAGTTTAATTTGTTCATTTCCTTTTCTTTTTCCAGCAACATCCTTGGAGCATATGCCAGTTTCCTCTGGGAAATAGAGGATGATGCCGAGGGAAATAGAGAACAACAAGAACACATAAAGGTGATACTTGACCCATGGTGCAGCTATTTCATTTTCTTGTAAAGACTAAAATGTGACATATTGTTGGCACTTGGCAAGGCTATAATACTTTTTACTTTTATCTCAGGTTGGAGAGGAGAAAACTCTCAGGGTATCCAAGAACTCACAACCTATAGAAGAAACTAAGGCAGCCAGCCTATCCTTGTACCCTCCCAATCCAGCAGACTTTGCGGTTCATGCAGATTATGTTAAAGCAGCTAATAGTATCTGGGATGTTGATGTTGAGGATTATTATAGGAGGATGGTTAATGAAAATCCTTGCAACCATTTGGTTCTTGGCAATTATGCGCATTTTTTGCATCAGGTGAAATTTGTATATCCTGCTCAGTTATTTTCTGCATAATTAGCTCATTTGCTCCTTTTGAGTGCCATTTTCACCCTTTTAACCGTAACTGTCCTCTTGGAATGACAGTCTAAGGGAGATCTTGAAGGAGCTGAAGAATACTACTCACAAGCCATACAAGCTGACCCAGGCGATGGTGACACCATGTCACAATATGCCAAATTGGTGTGGGATCTTCACCATGACCATAGTAAAGCCTCACATTACTTTGAGCGAGCAGTTGAAGCTACTCCTGAAAATAGGTAGTTTCAGTTACTTGAGACTCTCGAGTCTCTATATGGAACAAAATTCTACTTTTATGAACTCGACTCATGTTCTATTTTCTTCTGCAATACCTTGGAGATCTAAAGATATATAGTAGGTTCTGAATAAAGATGGTGGTATGTTGTTAATGCCACCTGGCAAAATTCTTATTCCACTGTTTTTCTCCTTTACAGCCTTGTTCTTGCAGCATATGCTAGTTTCCTCTGGGAAACAGAAGAAGATGAAGATGAAAACACAACGCAAGTCCAAACTCAGGCTTCTCTTCAGCATGGAGCTTTGTCTGCAGCAAGTTCATAGGCCACTAGATTTTGATACTTCGACAAAAGCTGAAGATATTTAGGTACTTAAATCACTGGTCCAATGTTTGAGTCAGCTGTCAGCCTATTTTAATATATATATATATATATATATATATATATATATAACATGTATATTTATGTTTTTTCAAAATAAACTTTCAATATTCTAGCAATATTTGGGTATTTGTAATTAAAAGTACATGTACCTTATCATTAATAAAAAAAAATTCAGAATAGACCCTCGTATAAATCCTTAACCACCTCTTCCTTTCTATCTCCCAACCAGATTTTTCTCTTCCATTTACACCTCCAACTACAAATAGCCATTCACTCTCCCCTTCCCAATAGCAAAAGTTAGGATTCTCTTCGTGTAGATTTTATGGTGACACTTGGAAATACCTCAAGTAGGAAAGAAAGATATGGAAGGATCAAGCAGGAAGACCTGTGGGGATTGTTATTGAATAAATAGACCCAACTTATGAGGCAGGCCATTAGTAAAAAGAAATGTGCCCAAAACTTGCAAACATATTGCCTATTTAAATGTTGAAAGAACAAATTAAGTATGATGGATGCCCTTTCCAAAAATAATGTAATTCCTATTCCAAGCACATCCAAGAAAACTAGCTAATGAAAGCACCAATATATAGTTGTTGAATCTAACAAAAGGGTAAATATGCTGAATTGTGGCGGCTGGAACCAAAAGTTTGATCCCTTCATAAAAGATAAAAAGAATGCTGGCTCTATGAACTTTGTCCAATTCTGGATACTTGTTGGCCAGATAAACCCCTGTCTTGGCGAGAAGTTGGCCTGTAAAAACCATTTCCTCTCGATCTACTGTAGTCTCGCTCACTTCCATCATAGGCACCCCCCCTGCCATAACTTCGAGCACCAAAACGCCCCCTTGGAGCATCGGTTTGATAGCTGCCTCGGCCTCGACCCCTCCCTGTCCAGAACATTTTAAACACCGGATAAGATTAGAAAACAAATTATATCAATCAACATAGCTAATGGATTTCAAAGCAACAGAAGACCATGTTGGTTCTTGATGTTATATTTGTCATCGAGAAACAAATATCAATTATTTCTACCGCGATGCTGCAATTATCATTTGATTTTCAGGATCTACAAGTTACAGCTATGAAGAAATTCATCCCTTAATGCCTTAAAAGATAAAAATCAAGAAAAATGACAGCAGTATCACCATAAACATACGGGCGAGACACCTATATGTCCTACTTTGAAACCAGCTACAATCTGAAGATGCCATTTATCAATCAGCATAAGCACATGGAGGGCCATTATATAATGTCCAATTATATGTGGGCATCTTATATGCCTATATTACGTGCTACACCACACAGCTGCCATCAGGTGAGATGCTTGGCCACCTGAGAGACAGCTATAATGGCGCTTGTAAGATGCCCATGTACACAACATTTTGGTTCACAATAGAAGTATTCTAATGGGAAAGAAATACATCCACCAAAAGAAAAAAATGAATGAAATACATACTTCCTCCTCGAGATGGGATAAAGCTGTTTGGTCTCCGCTCTTCAATGTACACATTTCGTCCAGCAACCTGTGCAACTCCTGCCTATATCCACATATGATTTGACAAAATTAGAACACAATGTCTATCAAAATGAAAGTCCTATCAGAACAAAAGAAGAAAAATGGATGGAAAGGGAGGATTGGTGACACAACTAAAAGATAACCAACAATTTTCAATGGTGAAAATGTTGATGGTTTGGTTTCATCTCCAGAAGGAATTATGTGTGCAGAGAGGGAAAATCAGGAGTAACAAACAGAAATATAGAAAATATAACTAAAATGTTGAAATGTTGAATTTCCACCCAAGGTGCACAGAATGCACAAATCGATTTGGATTTTCAAATCTTATAATTCAGCAAAAGACTTTTCCAGTTTTCTTTTTCAAAAATTTAACACTAAAAACTATGATTAGGTTTGCAGAATGCACCTTCACTGGGAAACAGCATAACTACTAAATAAGAGACATGTTCTTTTGTAGGTTATTGAAGTAAATTCAGACCTTGATTGCATTTTGGACACTTGTCATATCTTCAAATTCAACAAATGCATAACAGACACCAACATCCTGCACGCAACCAAAATGTTTTAGCATTAAAAGTAAGCAAGATTATCTTAATAGGACTACAAGAAAAGCCAAGACATGAACCTTGCGACTACGAATCACAACTCCATCAGGACTGATCTCACCAAATTTCTTGAATTCCTGCTCAATTTCAGACTCAGACACAGAAGAGGGCAAGTTCCTTACATAAACAGATTTTATTTCACCTAAAACACACAAGCAGCAAATTAACTATACATATTTAACTTGGAAACTATAGCCAAAATCTGCCTTCTAAAGTTTCAAACCACATGAATATGTATTTGATGAATGTTTTGAGATATTGCAACAACAAAGTCTTATAGAATTTCCATAGAATTGAAATTTCTTACATGTCATTATCCCATATATGAAAATAGTTAAACACAGCAGGAACGCTTGAAGCTTTACCTTCATCTTCTATGGCTGAAACTTCCTCAGCCATATCAGCCCCAGACCTTTCGACAGGATTTGAGGAGACAAAAGGTTGCTGGGTACTGTGCTGGGGAGCGTGGTCCCAGTCAGAAGCAGGTGGTGTGTTCTTGTTAATAGAAATCTGAGGAGCAACTGATGGCGCAGATTGTCCTTTAGCAACCCTTAACTACAACAATCAAGCACAAAAAAACAAAATAAATAGATCAACACTATGAGACAAGTCAATTTCCTAATTTAATAAACACGCATAAAAAATTCATGAGAGTATTGTAGTACATACAATAGAGGCATAGGTGTGCTTCTGGGGTTCCCCAACAGATTCCTCAACAGGAGGCAGATGCTCTTGGACAGTATTCACCATATGCAGAAGTGAACCATTTGACTCTTTCACAGAACTGTTATCCACAATGCTTTCAGATTCTGGGGCTTGCTGCAATCGTTGCTCTGGGAAACTAAACTTGTCAACTGGACCATTTTCTTGAACATCATCAAGAGCCACAAACTCCCTTCCCTGGATATCTCCACCCAGCAAATAGTTTGAAACTGCAAAGAGAATCATTGTTATCAGCCCAAACATCGGGAAATACAAATCTTGCGCTACTGTTTTCAGGAGAAATTTATTATCAAGAGCAAAACTAATGCATATACATATCAAGAGCAAAACTAATGCACATACATACTTCAGAATCACCTTATAATCAGACATAATAGAAACATCTGAAATTAATAACCTTTGATTCCAGAAAAGAAGGGGAGAATTAGGTCCCAAAGCCATCATAGAGAATTCTTTCTTTAAGATGGTAAATTCTTTTAAAGAAACACGAGCTATACAGTCACACTGATTCCTCAAAATCATATATGTAATCATTGGATTTCAGAACAAACAAATTTTATCAGGTCAACTGAAAAGGAGAATCATAAACTTTACAAGTTAAATTGGATTGTAAATACCTGGTTCTGGATTTGTTGCTGAAGCATTGAATTTAGAATCAAGATTGTGCTGTACTAATAAGACTGCTGGATGGTGGTGAATTTGTTCCTCATCAATAAAGTGAAAGATGTCATTTAGAACAAAATAGCCCTTCTCTTGTGGTGCAAGGAAAAATGTTTGCACAAATTGCCTCCTGGAACTGAAATCCTTTACTTGCACAGAACCCGAAACCATCACTAGAACACCTCCATTCCAAGATTCAAGGGAATATGCTGTCTTGATCTCAATCCCGGCGAAGTTGAGCGACATAATGATGGCATGGATTTGCTTTCAAATGAAATTAGAGAAAAAAGTAAACAATTAAGCCAATAGCTCCTTTCATCGAATGCAAAAACTAACTGTAAAAATCAGAATGAAAATGAGAAGTAGAATCATAAATGAAAATGGGCATTTTTATGGAACTATGAAATTAAATTTAAATAAACATAACAGGAAAGGAAAATCGATTTTAATAGCTCAGCAGATGTATTACCAAGATACGGCAGAGATTGATGAAAACAGAATTGCTAGAAATGAAGCATTATGCCATACTACTGCTTGCATAGAAGTGTATAATTATAAATTGAAATGTGATTATTGACATAGTGAGATTTCTGGATGGGGACACTAATACATTCAATGATCTAAACTGTTGTGAATATTGAAGCAATCATCTAAATACATATATGACCCAACTCCATAAAATGCAACAAAAGACAGTAAATAACTTTGTTTTTGGAAGATGAAAAAAAATGTAAACTTGATAAACTAAAGAAACAATAGAGTAAAATGAGTAAGCGAAACTACCAGCATTGCAGCAGCAGTTTCTCTGTTATTGCCATCGACACGAATCATGGTACTGGAATCACTATAAAACTGGTGCACTAAGTCTGGCTGCTGTTGAAGTACCTGATAGTACTGCCCTACAAAATACGTTCCCACCTGAAAAACCCACAAAGAATAACAAAACACCCAGATTTTATTTCCACTATACTCTTCAAAAAACCATTAAAAATAACAACTTTTTAAAAGAACAACCGGAAAGATAAGCACAAAAAGAAATAGCTTTTTCAGTACCTGAGCAGCGGTAACTGGAATGGGATAAGGAGTTGCCATTTCTGAAACTCCCTAAACACCAAAAGAATTTAAAAAAACCCTTTTTCAAATAGATCCCAGCACTGCTTCCACACCCACAAGATCTGCAACACCACCAAAAACAAAAAGCTCCCACATTTCAATACACTCAAATAAACCAAACAAATAAAACCCTCAAAAAAGAAAAAACACTATAAAACATGAAGAAATCTGAGATGGGGTATTTAGAGAAAACAAGAAAGTGTTGTTACCTATGGAAAGATAGATTTGAGGGAAGATTTTCTCCACTGGTTTTTTTTTTCTTTTTTTTTTTTTTGTGCTTTGTTGTAGTCTTGTTGGCTCTGCTGTCTGTCGACTGTTTTGAGTGTTTATGGTGTTTTTTTTTCCCTTATATTATTGTTTTTTGGATTTTCTTTTTTAATTTTGTTTCCTCAAAGGATTTCCAAATTTTGGTAGCCGTCACTATGAACGGTGGAACGCGTGTGGGCACCTCAAAAATGAAAAAGAAAATAGTAAAGGAGCAACCTTTTCCCTAAAGGGGACATTCGCTATCTTGCGCCCGCTGTTGTCTGTTCCATTTCCGCCCTTTTTGTAAATTTTCTTTTTGTTGTTTAAAAAGATTTTGAGAAAAATAAAAAAAGGAAAAAAGCATAAAATGTTTGATCTTTAGGATTTTTGTAATGGTTTGTGAAGAATCAGAATCTTCTTGGAACTTTTTATAACTTAATAAATTGTAAATTTTTTTAGCATAATACTTAAATTTTTATTACATACAATTAAGTTTAAAAAAATTATTTTAAATTAAATAAATTTATATAATTAATAATTAATTAATTATTATTAATTTAAATAATATTTATTATTTTATATCTATAAGAGGATAAAAGTGAGAGTGAAAGTGAAATTATTATATGTTCATATTATCATGTCACATTATCATTATTATAATAAATTATTATAACACATCTCCTTTATATGACATAAAAAATAATAAATAATATTTTAATTATTAATTATTAATTGTAGATATTATATCCTTTTATTTTAATTTTTGAAGAAAGGGTATATGCTTTTTGATTAAATAATAATAACCAACAAATGATAATTTATGATTGACTTGATCTCTTGGTTATGCTAAAATTCAAGACATAATTATTGTCCCCAGTGAAAAATGGTTGCAATTGTTACTGATTTTCCCAGCAAACTTGTATAGAAATATGCACTTTGGGTTTGTCAATATTACTTTTGGGAGAACATTCACTGAGATTTTGATCATGTGCTATAGTTTCATGCCCGCCTCATGCCTGGCAACCTTAAAGACATTCCACAGACCCTTTACTGCCTGCAGTCTGTGTGTTCTGCTTGCTATCTTTTGGTTTTGTTAAAACGGGGAACTTAATCATTTAGGGTAATCTAAATGGACCTTACCAGTTTCCACCCCAAAAAAGGGTTGAACTAAAAATGGAGACAAGCTGTTGGCTAGAATAGTTGGCAGTGCCCCAACTCCTTTCTTTGTCAAAACTGTTCTCCTTGGCATAAGTGAATATCAACTAAACATCCAAACAGAAAGTAGAAACTAGTGTTTAAGTTTATGGACTTATTTGGTCGAGGCATGCAATCCATATTATATTCACATGAGCTTGACAAGAAATAAGATGCATCCTGCCATTGCAGCCCCCATTGTTATTTATGGGTTCTTGACTCATGGGAAATTAACAAAACTTGAAGGTTTGTTTCAGCCCCTAGTTTCATCCAACGATTGTTACTCGTTTTAAAGATTTCGAATTCCTTGAGTGAAATTAGTGTTGTTAGGTTTCAAAATTATGGAACTTGATGGATGCAAAAATGCATGTAGCCATGTACTAATGCAAATGGAACTTTATTAACTACATCAGAGCTCAGAGTTTCAACAATTGGTGGTGTGAAATGTCAGCAGGTAGTTCTGCAGCTAACATAACAAGGCATATAAATTTTAACAATTTGCAGTTACTACAAACATGACTTGGATTTCTTCTCTCTTCTGTGGATAATGGAAATGATTTATTCCATTTATCAAGAACAGTAACTGATGGTATTACATAGTTCTAATTAATGTTTCATGCTCTTTCCCCATCAGGGCATTAAAATGTCAAGTTCCTCAATCTTTGCTTAAAGATGGTGTTGGAAACTGCCTGTTCTTGCATGCTTACAACAGAGCTTGTTAGTTGTCAAAGTGTCAACTATGAACCAAAAAGAACAAGTCTGGGATGTCTTTGTCCAATAAACAATCATAAGAAAAGCAACTATCAATATTAGCAAAGGTGGCGATGAAGAATTTGTTATAAGTTCCAGTCAAGAAATGCTAAGTGGAAAATGAGGTATAGACAAGGAGAAATGAAAGGGAATTTCAGGTCACTCAGGGTGACTGACTATATTATCAGAGTGACTCCCTCCTTCCATCTCCTCTAAGAGATTCACAGTTACTGTAAATGCTTCTTGAATTCACGTTTTTTGTGATCTTATGGTCGTCTTCCTTGAGCCAGGCTCACCCGTATTGCCCTTCCTTCTAGTTCCTAAGAAATCAAGAAAATGGTAAAGGGATTAGGGACCCTGCTAAATGGATGTCCGTAAAGGTTAAGAATTAGCACATAGAACGGAAGTAGGAACTGATACCACTCCATTAAGAGATTGAAGGGCAGCTTCCATCTCCGATTTCGTTGAGTAGCTGACAAAACCGTAACCCCGTGACCTTCCTGTCTCCCCATCATACAGAACCCTTGCTCCAACTACAGTTCCATATTCTTGAAATGCTTGTGTCAAACTTTCAGATGAGACAGACCATGATAGATTCCCAACAAAAAGCTTGTGTTCAGTTTCTGGATATAAAGGTTCTCTAGGTCGAGGTTTATCTGAAAAGTTCACCCTCAAAGTTCGACCAAGATATTCCTGAAAGAGGAAAATTCATTTAGGATTGAAACTTGAAGAAATAGGATTCATGGATTCACATTGCACGATCACATTCTTGAAGTCGAGTAGAACGTTTTGAATTGACATCTGCCATTTCAACGGAAGAGAACTAGTCTCATATTGTGTGCTCAAGTATGCATATGCACTTATCCAACAACAAATAGATAGATGGAAGAGAGTGATTCTTACACTTCCATCCAGATTTTCAATAACCACGTTACAATCTTCAACGGCGCTCATAGTCACAAATGCAAAGCCCCTGCTTTTTCCAGTTTCTCTTTCATAAAGCACCTAAAAACATCCACAGAATCTATTAGAAAACAGAGAAATGAGATATCGCACAGAATGCCATAAATGATAGTGTGATGAAGGCAATTTCTATGTGAAAGTAAAGCTTGTTCATGTATAACTTAGGGAATATAAGGAGATAGAACATTGCAAATGCCAATAGATCAGAAATATGAAAAATTTCAAAGAAAAAGAGTTTACTTATTCTAGGTCCTTTGTCTTAATTCAACAGAATATGCATGCTGCTTGAAATCTAGACACTGTTGTATCAGTAAAGACGAAAGCAAAGTAAACCCTGCAATGGTTAATCAATAAGCTCAGTAAGTCTTTCTTCAAACCTCTCAAATCTTAAACTTGTAAGTGAGTAAGTAATCCTTCTCTAATCTTTCATCTACTAAAGTGATTGCATATATAAGGAGGTTCAACATTCCTTCCACTTCCTAAACATCCTCTTTCTTGCAGCTGTTGTAACTAAAGTATGGGCAAGAACAAGAAAATTCAGGTTCGTCAATGAGATAACGGTGATCTTATTTTGGGTTTTACATAGTATGTCTAAATCTAACTCTGTAAATTCACCGGGAAGCATCCCTATCTGTTTCTTTTTTTAGGTAATGCTAGGAATGATTTAAAAAGTAGAATGAATGGAAAGAAGGTTGATATAAAGAAGCCAAGTAGAAGAAAAAACTGCAGTGTTAAACAGCGTGTGTAGATGTTCAAGACTAAAAGCTTGACATGATTGAAGTTGAATGAAGCCTGAGTTATTATCTAAAACTCAACCAGAATCAGATATCATTTTGAGAATTGATCATTCAGCATTTAGCAGGCCTGAACTTATTCGAAACTTTACTCCCTAGAACCAAGCTGAATCGCAATCTGTGTCCTTTCAGCCGTATTTACAATTTTAACTTCATATAGTACTTACTATTTAGCCAGTTTCATTCATGTGAACAATTGAAATTGGGTTGTAATTAGCTTAATGCTGCATCTATCAAGCCTCAAGATTTCCACCTTCTGCACCACATTGATCTCATACTCTCAAAGCTTAAAATCCGAGTAATTCAGCCAGAACAACTACAAAATCCCAGTTATGTGCCGGTAAGGAAGTAGCATGAGAATTAATCTGCCTATCTCAATTCTCAACTAATAACCTTTTACTTCATGACACTCGCATCTTAACCACTTGACTAGATTTGATCAGTCAAATTAATTACCTCAACAAGCTCTGGGCTGCCATACTCTTGTATTATCCCTGCGAGTTGGGCACTGTCAACATTGTAAGGCAAGTTCCCAAAGTAAAGCTTAGTATTCACAGGAGACTCAGCTTCAGCCGCAGTCTCAGCCTGAGCTTCAGCTTCTCCTTCTGCTGCTACTTCTCCTTCCTTCACCTCTTCCTCCACCAAACTTTCTTCCTCTTGGGCAGTTGCGGCTGCCTCTTGTTGGGCAACAGCAGCTGACACCTTAAGCACACGCCACTTTTGCACAGTGCCGCTGGTGGGGAAAAGTTCATGAGTGAAGAAAGAGTGAGATATTGATGATATCGTCCGAGACGATGGAAATCTAAGGACAGAATGATCAGCTGTCAGTTGCTTAAAACGCATGCATTTGAGGGTCTGGATGGACGGAGAGAAAGATGAGCCTACTGCTGGTGCAGCAGTTGCAGCCATGGTAATATCGGATGTTATTGCAGTAGGTGGCAGCAATGGAGTCAGTCACTGCTGGTAGGTGGAGGTTTTTTCCGTTGCGAGGGATGCGGAGGTAGGAGCTGAAAAGTTGCTACAAGGCATGGAACCGGAAGGAGTGTAAAGTTATCCAAGCTGATGTGGGCAGATTTTGTCCAATGAGCTGCAGATAAGGTGTGTTCAGTTCACTTTCAGTATGGATCAGTTTTCTAGACTGTTAAACTGGGCTTTCTCCACTGGGGCACTTCTTTTGCTGGTGGGACTAGATCCTGGTATATATATGATTTCTCTCGTGGACTTTGGTGGTATTTGCTCTCCTCAACACTGCAGTAAATTTTCAGATTGGAGAGCAGTTCAGAGAACCATCAGCAATAATTAATAAGAAGAAATTGCATACTTCCCCAAATGATTATCTTGTTTCAAAAATTATCCTAGTAATTAGGATCCACTTAAGGGAGTGAATTACAGATTAGAAGAAGATATAGCATTGTCTTGGTAAAAGTTACATATTTGAATATAGGAAAAATTCTGAGTAGAGATGTAAAATTACAGTTTCATGTTAGATTCTTGGGTTCATTTTGAACACTGCCTGTCATCAATTGTTTTTTTTTTTTAATTTTTTCTCAAAATCCTGTTGAATAACATGAAATTAACACATGAATGATAGTGGTGTTCACCTTTGTATTAACAAGCAAAAACACAGAGACACTTGAAAGTTGGGCTCGGAGTTGTGCCTCCATTGGAATTGTGCTTTTTCGAACACTAGTTTTCACAATCCTCAAGTACGCAATTGTTTGGATATAAGGTCTCTTCACATCTTTTGCTGTGCATCAATCTGTGGTGCCATTGAGACGACTGCAAGAACAGAAATCAAACAAAAAAATAAACTCTCAAACCCCCCCAGAAAAAGAAAAAACCATAAACTTAATTGGATTCTTTAATTCTCCTTCCACGACAAGGCAATTTCAATGTTGACCCTACAATTTTGAATTAACATTTAGTAATTATATAAAATTTAGATTCCTTCAATTGAAAATAAATCGAGGAAATTGTAGAATTGATATGAAGTAAATTTGTCCAAATATGAAAAAAAAAATCCAACAGTTACATAAAATTTGAAATTCTTATTAAGAGAATAAATTCAGGGACAGATATGAAGCAAGTATGGACAAAAAATCAGTAATTACATAAAATTTGATACTATTATGGAGGGAAATAAATTAAGGGACAGATAAGAAATATGAAAAAAAAAAATCAACAATTACATAAAATTTGATATTCCTATTAAGAGAAAAAAATTATTGAAGAGAGATCCTATCAAAAAATTATTGAAGAGGTCTAGAAAAGACACGCTGGAAGAGACCTGAGGCAATGGACCACTAAAATGATTAAAACTAAGATCAATGATGGAATCAACGAATGCAGTCCCAGGTATATCAGGAATCTGCCCATGGATTTGGTTGTAAGACAGATTGAAAAATTGAATTTGAAAGGGTGAGTTCCAAAACCAACTAGGAATGCTATCTGAAATGGTTGAGTTAGAGATATCTAGAGCTATGAAATAGTTTTGTGAACGAAGCCACAGAGGAAACTGCCACCCTACATGCAATGTATCTCAATCCCAAGATTTCCAGTTGAAAAGGAGGAACCCAATCCAGACTGACATTTAAGAACATTGGGTTCCCAGAAACAGTTAATATTTTCAATTTTGTAAGGTTGCCATAGTGAATTTCTGAAGCAACCCCTACCAACAAATTATTAGAAACATAAAATATTTCCAAGTTTGCGAGTTGTCCAAATGACTCGGGAAGGTGCCCTGTCAATTTGTTCTCCTATGGACGGAATCAACGGTAAATTGCTACCTATATTGCTTTGTCTAAAACAGTCAATCTTTATCAAAAACTAGTGCTATTTACAATTAATTAGTTAATTTCTTATAAATTGCGAGGATACAATGAATCTCAATTTAATATTAAAAATCTAGTCCATCAGTCACGTGTAAAACGTTTTCCATCGAAGAGAAGTATAAAGTAGTTTTGAATTATGCCGTTTAATATTATAACAGCAAATTATGATGTTATTACTTAGTTACCCAGCTTTCAACCATTGGGATTCAATGTCAATTAATTTGTCACATCTTAACCTTTATTTTTTGTGTTTACTTTTGTCGATTCTCAACATTCTTTTGTTACATGGGGCACACCACGCCCAAACTTTTTAGACTTAATGTTACAAGCTTCAACATCAATACAAAATTTCCAGGAACATTCATGCTCCAATTTAATTATTCCATGGTGCAGACTTACCAAAAGCATTATAAGATGAAGACAAGGTGAATGCACAACATATATTTGCCAAAAATCTCAAGAGTTTGTCTTACCTCGTACTGCTTTGTCCACACGTTGGTCTTCTTGATCAATTCTCTAAGTCTTGAATGGTAGATCGTTGACTTATTACTAATGCTTTGTATTCCTGTTTTTATTGTAATGACATATGTAGTCCTCCAAAATTCCATATATATGTTCATCAACTTCCACACGATGAATGCATAGAATAGGAAAGGGAATATATATAATCTCACATAAAAAACAATTGAAATCACACAAAATTTAGATATGAAAAATGTCAATTTATAATAAATAAAAAAATTATGTTATTTCGTTGATAAAAGATAGTACCAAACAATGACTTCAAATGCATTCGCAATCTTTAGATAGTACCAAAAAATTATCTTCAAATGACTTCGTAAGTATATGTTATATGGAGTCTGCCCTCCAAATGTGGGGCTTCCAAGTTGAAGAACGCTACATAATTTTGTTGAACCCTGAGTTGGTCTTTGAAGTTCAAAAGAAAGAACAAATATTCATCTGTTAAAACAAGTGATTGTGCAAACTATTTAACTTATGTAAGTAGAGCAATAAACATGTAATAAAAAAATTAATGATTTTCAATTATATATGAAATTAACTTGTTCATTTAAATTGATACGTGGTAAAAATAGATATACTTACGAAGTTATCGATTTTTCAAATTTGTTTGAAAAGTGAAGAGTGCATATATGGACCTCCATCGTCGCCTATCAATCACCAAAGGTAAAAACACACTCCAAAAGCCAATAGCAAATCCATATGCCATGCCGAACCAGAACCAATCCGTTACAAATCCCTTGTCATTTTCTCCTCTTCCATTTCTAGTAATCTGAATTGTACCATTTGCAAAACACTTGTTTGGAAGTGGCAATCCACAGAGTTGGTTGCCAACAAAGTTGGATGGCTCCAAGCTTTGTAACTGAGTGCTCGAAGGAATTTGTCCGATCAAGTTGTTGTAAGACAAGTTCAAGTGGTTCAAAAATGTCAAAGTTGACATGCTTTGAGGAATTGGACCAGACAACTTGTTAAGAGAGCTTAAGATGCAAGAATTGGTATTGGTCCCATCGAGCTTGGTATTCTTCCGGTAAGATTGTTGTTATCTAAATTTAAGATCCCCAAGTTTTGCCAATTCATCCAACAATCTCGAATATCCCCGGATAAAAAATTTCTACCAAGATCAAGAACGCCCATTCCCATGGTCTCCTTCAAACTATAACACAAAAGAGGGAAAAGAGATCCTATCAAAAGATTGTTGGAGAGGTCTAGAAAATACACGTTGGAAGAGACTTTAGGTAATGAACCACTGAAATGATTAAAACTAAGGTCAATGATGGAACCAACAAATGCAGTCCTAGGTATATCGGGAATCTGCCCACGAATTAGGTTGTGAGAGAGATTCAAATTTTGAATTTGGAAGG